TTTTTTTGGTACCGGGGATCAAACTCGGGTCCTTGCGCTTGCGCAGCAGGCAGCAAAACCACTGAGCTAAATCCCCGGCCCTTCCTCAGCCCCTTTTTACCTTGAGACAGGATCTCGCTAAGTCACTAAGTTGCCCAGGCTGGGCTTGAAATTTCGATCCTCCTGCCTCGGCCTCCCAGAGCTCTGGGTTACAAGTGCGTACCAGCACGCACGGCTGGGAAAGACCTCACTAGGGGACTTGCCGCTGGGACGGCTCTGAGGTGTGTAGGTTTTGCCAGTGAGGGGGTGCCCTGAACTGCCTGGGGTATAGCTCAGTGGTACAGCGAAGCTGTGGGACCCTGGTTCAAGCCCTAGTGCCACAGAAAAGGAAAAGGGGGGCAGCCTTCAGCCAGAGGGAAGGGACCCGGTCAGCCAGGGGGCCGAGAAGAAAGTGCTGAGAGGACTCAGGCCAGCTGCAGGGTGGCCTGAGGCAGCAGGAGGGCAGGGAAGGGAGGATGTCGCTTTGGGGTCCCATACAAAGGCTGCCTGACCTGCACTGGCCAGGGAGCTGGCCGGGTCAGGAGAGGCCTGGAGCGGCGGGCGGGAGTGCCAAGGGCCGGCCAGGGGACGAAGGACCGACAGAGCAGAGGTGACACCTAGCCTCCTCCTCAGGCCTGTGCACCTGTCTGTGCAGGATGGGGGTTTGCTCCTTTTATTTCAGTTTTTAGGTGCTTTTTAAAAACCGTATCACAAAAGTTGCGTGCTTCTCCGAGTTGCTTCCCCCTCCTTTGTTCTGGAATACTATTTCTTTTCAGACACAGGCCATACCCCTAGACCAGAGGCACAGAGGGGAGGGAAAACAAGGCGGGGGGGAAGGTGACTGCTGCAGGGCCTCGGGGCGAGGCCTAGCTACACACATACACATACACACACACATACACACACACACACACATGTGGAAAACAACTGCACTGGGCCAGAGCTTCACCCATAACAGGGCACGGAGGAAACACACCCAGAAGGGCTCTGTGGCCCGGCCGGGACAGAGACGAAGACCCTGGGCCTTGGGACAGAAGCTCAGAGCAAAGAAGCCAAGTCAGGCCTGCAACCCCATGGCTGTGGGCTCAAAACCAAAGGCAGCTCTCGTGGGCCCTCACTGGGAGCGGGAGAGGATCTGGTGCTTCCTGTGCTCCACGGGCCTTGGCACCCAGCAAACGGGGCAAACATCCCGCTGGTTACGGCCGGCCGCAACCCAGGACCCTGTCTCTCCTCCTCGCAGCCTCCTGATGAAGCAAAGGAAGTTTCTGTACCACTTCAAAAACGTCCGCTGGGCCAAAGGTCGGCACGAAACCTACCTGTGCTACGTGGTGAAGCGCCGGGACAGCGCCACCTCCTTCTCCCTGGACTTCGGCTACCTGCGGAACAAGGTACATCTGGCCCTTCCTGACAAGCTCGGCCCCAGGGTCTCCACGGCCCCTTCCCCTCTGGACACAGCCCCGGGCGTCCTGCAGGGCCCCACACCTGGGCTTCTCCCAGTGCCAAGGAGAGCTGCCTCCCAACTTCCCTCCCCTCTCCCAGCCCCAGAATCACCTTGGAAGTCAGGCAAGAGCACTTTGGGTGGGGAACACTATCAGGCAGTTCAAGCAAATTTAATTTTATTTATTTATTTGTTTTTGCTGTGCTGGGGATCGAACCTAGGGCTTTGTGCATGCTATGCAAGCACTCTACCCATAAACTGTGTCTCCAGTCCCTCACAGTGACGGAAAAAAATGAGATCTTTAGAATTTTTGAAAATCAAGGAAGAACCAGCTGGGGATTTAGCTTAGTGGCATGGTGCCTGCCTTGCAAGCACAAGGTCCTGAGTTCGATCCCTGGTAACAAAAAAAATTTAAAAAAAAAAAAGAAAATCAAGGAAGAAAAATTTAAGAAAAATTACAGGTGTCAGGTGTAGTGGTGCATGCCTGTAGTCCCAGTATTCAAGAGGCTGAGGC